GGGGACTGGGAGTGCTAGGAGCACTGGGGAAGCCCCGAGGGGGGACTGGGAATGATGGGAGCACTGGGGAAGCCCCGAGGGGGGACTGGGAATGATGGGAGCACTGGGGAAGCCCCGAGGGGGAACTGGGAATGCTGGGGGCACTGGGGAAGCCCCGAGGAGGGACTGGGAATGATGGGAGCACTGGGGAAGCCCCGAGGGGGAACTGGGAATGCTGGGGGCACTGGGGAAGCCCCGAGGAGGGACTGGGAATGCTGGGAGCACTGGGGAAGATCTGAGGGGAAACTGGGAATGCTGGGAGCACTGGGGAAGCCCCGAGGAGGAACTGGGAATGCTGGGAGCACTGGGGAAGCCCCAAGGCGGGACTGGGAATACTGGGAGCACTGGGGAAGCCCTGAGGGGGGACTGGGAATGCTGGGAGCACTGGGGAAGCCCCGAGGGGGGACTGGGAATGCTGGGGGCACTGGGGGAGCCCCTAGGAGGGATTGGGAATGCTGGGAGTGGTGGGAAAGATCCGAGGGGGGACTGGGAATGCTGGGGGGACTGTGGAAGCCCCGAGGGGGGACTGGGAATGCTGGGAGCACTGGGGAAGCCCCGAGGGGGGGACTGGGAATGCTGGGAGCACTGGGGAAGCCCCGAGGGGGAACTGGGAATGCTGGGGGCACTGGGGAAGCCCCGAGGGGGGACTGGGAATGCTGGCCCGGAGCCTCCCTCGCTGCCCTGGCCCGCGTGTGCCAGCGCCGGGAGCGCCGGCAGAGCTGATAAATCTCCTGCACTTTGCAGCCGAGATTGTCTCGTCCTAATTAAATCTGCCTTAATTGCTGCTTGATGGGGAATTAATCAAGCGGCGCTCTCGGGCCGTGGCTCCCGCCGGCAGGGCAGGCAGGGGAGAGCGGGAATGGGGACAGGGAATGGGAATGGGAGTGGGAATGGGGACACGGGGTGGGGATGTGGACACGAGATGGGGACAGGGATATGGGAATGGGGATGGGAATGGGGGCATGGGATGGGAATGGGGATACAGGGATGGGAATAGGGATGGGGATACAGGGATGGGAATGGGGTTGGGGACATGGGATGGGAATGGGAATGGGAATAGGGACATGGGGTGGGAATGGGAATGAGAACACTGGATGGGGACAGGGATACAGAGATGGGAACATGGGGTGGGAATGGGGACATTGGATGGGAACAAGGATACAAGGATGAGAACGAGGATGGGGACATGGGATGGAGACGGGAATACAGGAATGAGAATGGGGTTTGGAATGTGGGATAGGGACGGGGACATGGGATGGGAATGGGGATGGGGACACGGGATGGGGATGGGGATATGGGAATGGGGATACTGGGATGGGAATGGATATGTGGGGATGGGGACACAAGGTTGGGAACAGGGATGTGGGGCTGGAATGGGGGCTGGGGACCAGCTGGGATCCTGCTGAGTGATTGAGGAGGATCTGGGCTGGTTCCCTGGTGGGATCTGAGCTGGATGCCAGCCGGGATCTGGGTGGAATCCAGGCTATATCCAGGCAGGATGTGGGCAGGATCCTGAGTAAGATCTGGGATGGGTCTGGCTGGGTCCTGGCCAGGACCTGGACTCGTTTCCATCTGGGATCCGCACAGCCCCTCACACCCCCTGGGGACTCCCCACCCTGGGACAACCACACCCTGTCCCTCATCGGGGAGGGTCCCAGCCCCCCTCCCTGGGGACACTCCCACTCCCACCCACCCCCAGACCTGCCCTGTCCCCACCCCACAGGTACCAGCTCCGCAGGATCGTGGTGGACACGGCGGCGGGGCCGTGGGGCAACCACACCGTGGTGTTCCTGGGCTCCAGCACCGGCACCGTCCTCAAGTTCCTCATCCTGCCCAACGCCACCAGCGCCACCACGGCCACCGCCCCCGGCAGCCAGAGCGTCTTCCTGGAGGAGTTTGAGACCTACCAGCCCGGGAGGTGGGAGCTGGGAGGGGGGACAGGGAGCTGGGAGGCTGGGGGGGATGGTCAGAGTGGTGAGGGGGTGGAGGGATGGACAAGTGGGTGGAGGGATGGATGGATGGATGG